TGCTGCCGGTGCCTGTCCCCCCCCCGCAGCGTCGGCTGGACATGGTGCTGCTCGTGCCGGAGCTCACCTTCATGACCGGGGTCCCTGAGATAAGGAAGGACAGTCGAATGGTGAAGGTCAGAGCATGTTTGCATCTGATGGTCCCTGCTCACCCGAGCCGGCGTTGCCCGGTTTGGAGAGCTGAGCCCTGGCCAGCCGCTGCTGGGGGAAGCTCAGAGCCCCCCCGTCACACCCGGGGGTTCCCCAACCCGCCTCCTCCCGTGCCCGCCCGCTGCAGGACGTGACGCGGGAGATGCTGCAGAGCCCCAGGCAGCACTACATGCGTCTCACCAGCCTCCTGCGCAGGATCAAGGACAGCCCGGAGGCCTCGGGGGAGCTGATGCGCTGGGGGCTCAGCCTGGACCCAGACATCCACAGGGTAAGGGCTGCGGGGGGCCAGGCTCCAAGCTCCCCGCCCCGGGAACGGAGGCAATGGCTGCACTGCGGCGGCGCTGGAGCTGCCACGGGTTTCTGCTCCGTTTAGACCCAGGGCCGAGTCCTGCCCGCGGAGAGGATCAACCTGCGGCACAGCTCCTTTGTCCCCACCGAGGACCTGAGCTGGAACAAGGAGATCACGCGAGAAGCCTCCATCTCGGCGGTGAGCCCATGGCTCGGCCCTTGCAACAGCATCCCCTTGTTTGAAAACTGGGATGGGTTTTCTTAGTGCTGGCATCCCGTCTGTCCTGCTCCCGTCTGAGCTTGTTGGAGCTAAAACCCTTCCCTTATTTATATTGGCTTTATGCTTCAGCCTGTTTTTCCTAAGGAGGTTAGAGGTACGTGGCCGCAGCGGCTGCTTTCCCACCTCCTCTTGGAGTGGCTAAAGGCTTTCAGACTGCAGGAATCGGATGTCGTCGTGTGCCCTTTAGGTTCCTCTTGGGCCGTTTTCCCTCTCCCAAATTTCCCTCTGTGCTGCAGGGCTGGGGAGCTGCGTGGTTCGGCAGCCACGGCCCCGAGGCAAGGGCTGTCCGTGCCTCTCTCCTAGATCGCCATGAATTACTGGCTGCTGGTTTACCCCAAGCGCCTGCAGGACCTGGCGAAGGATCTGGTGGCCGCCATGGAGAGCGTCTGCGGCCCCATCGGCATGCACGTCAGCCGTCCCGCCTTGGTGGAGCTGCAGGACGACCGCATCGAGACCTACGCCAAGACCATTCGAAGCGTTTTGGGTAGCGAGGTGAGGAGGGGGGCTCGGGGG